ATATAAAAGGAGTTTTTTGCTGTCTTTGTATAAGTGTTTTTCCGAAATACATCATCTTTTTTTCGACGATCGCCCGAGAGAATGAGAATGAATTGTTACGAAAAGTGCGAGCCGAAATCCATCAGCTTCAGCGAAATCACCGCGCAATACTTACAAACTGCCAACAGGCAACTAGCAGTATACACATGCAACATGTTGGGCAAAGAACCCTGAGTTGTCGTCTCTAGTGTCAGTGGCCGTCAGCGAGGCCACGACGCGTTCACGTTTGTCACTGTGAGAGAGAGGTGGGTAGGGTCAGCCTTTTCTATGTGTACTGTTGCCATAAACTTCAGTAGGTGGGCTAACTCATGAAATGTCAATTTCGAAATGCGTTCTCGTTTCAAAAAGATTAATTAAGTAGGGTTATAAAGCTAATCATCAAGCAGCATAATTCTATAATGATCCAGTTACCCCAGGGTGTCGGCTTTCGAATGAACTTATTTTTGACTGCAAGCAAGGACTACACTCTGCAAACAATGACTACTTAAGTAGCATGCACTTTTCTCACTGTTTTTCGATGTCCTTGAAAATTTAATTATATTTCATGCATAAAAGTATTCATTCTTTTACTTATTCGGTAGAAAATCACGTCTTCTTCGGATTTTATACTCCAAGAAGAGTATAATTTGGTTTTGAAAAAGTTTCTAATTGGGAGATCTTTTAATACCGCGCAATGACCGTTCGTAAAACTCATGTATCTGCATTTACGAATGTGGCTTGTAAAGTTAATAATATTGCTCAAATCCACTGCCCAATTTTATGAACGCCATATAGTCTCCTCTTAATACCGCAGAGAAAGGCATGGGTTCCCGTACACGAAAAATATACGCTTGTAGTTTGGAAATCCTGAATTCAAGTGTAACAGGAGGTCGAGTTTAAAATTATTCAGGAACTGGAAAGTTTTTCAAAACCAAATTACACTCTTTTCGAGTACAAAATCCGAAGAAGACGTGATTTTCTACCGAATACGTAAAAGAATGAATATTTTTATGTATGAAATATAATTAAATTTTTAAGGACATCGGAATCAGTGAGAAAATTGCATGCAACTTAAGTAGTCATTTTTCGCAGAGTGTAGTTCCTGCTTGCAGTCAGAAATAAGTTCATTCGAAAGCCGACATCCTGGGTAACTGGATCATTATAAAATTATGCTGCATAATGATTAGTTTTATACCCCTACTGCATTAATCTTTTTGAAACGGGATTGGCATTTCATAAGTTAACTCACCTACTGTAGATCACGCGCAAGTCATCGTCCCTGCACCCACCCTGCTGTGGGACACACAATGAACATCGTTGGAAACGACGGACGAACTATTATACGTATGTCGGAGCTATGAAGAGACAGCATTTGTTTGAAGGCCAGTGTTACATTAATTAATAGTTGAATGCTGCACTAGTCGAGAAATGATGGTTTTTCTGTGGGGCATAGACGACCGCGACTGTCTAGACACTCGTGTGTCCGTGCGTTCTTTCTCCTCACCGACGTCAGACGTTCAAGTTTGAAGAAGCCCACTTACTCGGTAGAGGTAACATTTGTTTGAGCCGCGAGCTGCTTGATCCACTGTTCACTGATTTGCAGCCTATCAACAAGTGCAGTAATTAACTGACAGGGAGCGCTCAGATGAACACTGTTTCCAGTCCCGGTCTCGGCGAACCAAATGACCGAGTCAGTGTCACGCCAACATCCCACATGGGTGGTGAAGCTGCGACAATTAATGACTCGAAGGCCGGCCATCAGACAATTATCGTGCCAAAAGAGAAACAGTCTTCGACGAAGGGAGAAGCCGTTAATTTTGATAGGTATGCGCTAGCACAACAACCGCATCCTACAAGTACTGAAACCCCCTGTGCACGAGTAACCCGTATCCAATGCTATCTCTAATGAGTGGTTGGACCAAGAAACCAAATTGTCAAAGGAACAAAGTTAATGCGTAGTCAGGACGTGGACGATGAAATCTTAACGACAGCGTTGCGAGCGCAACCTTGTACCGCGCTTACAAGATTAGGGCAATTGCGGGAAGGGAGGGAGTAGCTGCTCAACGCTGACAGTGGCTATCGGCGTGACTTCCATGTTGTTGGCTGTCGCCACTGTTATTATTGAGGTAGGTACACGAGTGTCCCACAAGGTCAGTGAAAGCCCTCGAGGGACCGAAGGCACCTTAGTAGGGTTCGGGAGTTTACAGCGTTGTTTTTCGTTATTCCGACTCCGCATTCCTGCTGCTTCTTCTCAACTGTCCGATTTCAATTGTTGTACGTCCAATTTTAATGGCAGTTCTCCATACCTGCCGAACCTTTACAAGATTTCCAAAACACCTGACTGCTCCAGGAGCATTTGAGCCACGTTTCCAATGTATCTTTCTTTTATTGGTGCTTTTACTCTCCTCGTCGGCAAACGCCTGTAGTAACACCGCAATGCAATGGCTCCTTTGAAAGGCGCTGATAAAACATTATCGCGGATTGGTCAGTCCTTCCAAATCTCATACGCTTTGGTATAACAAAGATGAAAAACATGGTAATGTACTGCCTTTGTGTCAGCCCATCTTCAGGAGCCTTCGAGGGCAGTTGAGGTGTTGTAACTGCGCTTTCTTACTTGGCGCTGACAGAGGGTGCAGGTTTGTGCGTCGTAAATTGTTGGGATCAGCGTTGCTGGTCCATACAGTCATCAAGTATTTGCTAATACTCCTCACTATGTTTGCAGATTTAAAAAGTGTACACGGAGGAGATTGTAATACAGATTGACATAGAAATTCAGATCAGGTTAGACCACACGCCCTGTTACACTGGATTTCAACAGAAATCTTTCTCTTCTACCTGAAAGTATATTTTTCATGTTTATTTCCGGAGTCTTTATAATTTCGTGCACACTTCCTAGGAAAGGTGCACAAATAACTGCCTTCCTATATTTGGTTCATGGAAAGTGCATCGTCTTCGATCATCTTGTTCGAAGAAAGCTTGCATGTTGGTTAATCAAGCGTTTTTATCATTGAAATATTGTTTCCAGGAATAAATTTTCACAAAGCAAAGGCGACAAAATATGCAGAATTTAATGACGTCGTAGATTTTCGCAGCCGCTTCTTCGACTGCCTCCTGTCATTGCATATTAATAGGATAAATTATTCAATCAGAAAACGGCCTGGAGGGATGGGACGCGATAACTGGATAAAAACATCAAATGTTGATCAGGCATGCGAGTGGGCATGGTGTGGGAGGAGAGGGATGTTGTCGAGGTGAGCGAGCTTGGGTTGCAGCAAAACCTCGTGAAGCCTGAGTAGGACTGCACAGCATTGAGACCCTAGTTAACCACGTGGGGGATGAGGGGGACGGAACAAGGAATGGAGTTATCTGCCTCACTAACAGTTGCCGTGGTGGTACGAGGTCGATCACGTGATTCAGCTGCTCACGTAGTCCTGGTTTTCTCCTCCTCATTGTAGGTGCTTATTCAAAGCGCAGGAGATGCCCAGTCGCCGCCAAAAATATGAACTTGAATGCAGTCATCGGATCTACTGCATGGCCAGTGTCCACTAGGTGCTTCGTAATTGAACTCCTAGGTATCTTATTTTCCCTCCCCAGCAGCTATTTTGGCATATATTCAGCTGAGCGAGTTGCCAACAGTCTGTGCGTGCGCCAAATATATTTGCAGCAGCAACTACAGGTAAACCCATAAAAACAGTTTGATGTGGCACACCGAGACAGGATTCTTTAACCGGTCTAACCGGAATAGCCGCTGTGGTGCTCATGAAAAACAATTGAGGTGACTTACGTCCGTTCAGTCCTGCATCGAAGCCGGCGCTTGGTCATGTCTGATACATTATCACTCTTGAAAGGGAGGTAGATGCTCTCCAACGTGTTTGGTACTGACACTAGGACTGGTCCAAATGAACTGCCCACCGTCGATTTTTCGACGCAACTGCCTATTGAACAGTGACTGTAGTTCTTGTTGCATATATGTAGTAGTTCTTGCAGTTTTCCTGCCTCCAGACATGTTTTGGCCGCGTGATCACAAAATGTGTCAGTAGTTTCATCTAACAGAGCTTTTGTGAACCGGCTCTGAACTTAAAGCTATATCATTTGTTGGCACAGTAAAGTTTGATTCTTCCGCTTATCCTCGAATGATGAAATATCCTCTGCAGTACAATCAGCAAGACTGCATCTAATTGGTTTGATTTGTCGGACTAACCACTGGGTGGGTATATTTTGGTGGATCCCTTATTGGTAAAATTTTTCGTAACGGTGCCTCTGGTTTGTGCAGTCTAGGTTGCCCGAATATTCTAGAGATATGCGAACCTATGAGCCTATGACATACAGTTACTTTCCTGTTAGTACTTGGTTTTCAAGTAACGATTCCACCTCTTCCTTCCCATGGATTTCAGCAGATAATTTGCTGGGATGGCTCAACATCGCCTCTGTATTACTCGTACAATCGACCTTGTTTAGAATTACAACATTGTTTCCTTTTGTAGAATCTCGAGATAACAACATCCGTAAACTTACTAAGGTGTTGCATAGTTAGCAGTGAGCACTGGGTAATCGAGGGCATTTGTCGCCTTTGTTTTTAATTATAACATTTTCAGACGTTTTCATGGTTATTCGTGCAGCCCACAGTGCCCGAGGTTGCTAGATCTGTTCCCACATAATACATGTGTCAAAATCCATGATTAATACTGTATTTTATGAGAATCAAGAGGCCTCGTCTTAAAAGGATTTCCTTAGCTGACATGAAGTTTGGAAAGCTTCAGGAAGCTTGAATATACAGACTGTATTTCCATGTATACAGACTCAGTAGATTCCCGTTATTTAGGCCAGTCGTTTGTTTAGAGCAGTTGATGAAGTAAAGAAACAGTCCTTATGTATACCCCGAATTTCCCTTGCTTATCGGGACTGAGATGATGGCCTGGAAAGCCGCACGGTCTACTCGCCACATGTTCAGTCAAGTAGTTCATGTTAGCCGTCAGACCAAATTAATCAGTCAGGGGTGAGGGCCTGCGAGCGTTGGACAAACCACCCGGACGATACCGCTGGAGTACAGAGGTTTGTTCGGCGCCGTTCGCTTGGCAGAGGAGGAGGGGAGGGTGGTGGTGGTGGTGGTGGTGGAGGAGGAGGAGGAGGAGGAGGAGGAATGAGGGCGACGGCTTTGGCGCCGATGCTCGCTGAGTGGCACCGGGCAAACGTCTGGCCGCATAGATCACTCCAGAGCAAGCAACCATGATGTTAAGGGGGAGATTTGACAGAGGCTGGCAATGTCGGTCTGATGGTTCAAATAAAATACTCAAGAGCCCCGTATGTCTATAGTGGTCGTCCAAGCAGTACAGTGGGTGACCGATCTCATGAAATGTTGGCTGAAATTCAGAAAAGCGTTTTCGATCAGGAAGGATTACTTAGGCGCAGTTGTAATACTAATCACCCTGTGGCATAATCTTGTAACATTTCGGACTCGGTAGGATGTCAGCTGTTGAATACACTGCTTTTAAGACTACTTTAGGGACTGTACTCGGTAAAAAATTACTTCTTAAGTAACATGCATTTTTCCATTGATTTTCGATGGTCTTGGAAGTTTCAAATCTATTTTATAGAAAACACAAACAAAATATGCTTTCTTTCAGTCGTTTGATAGAACATCACGTCATATCCATATTTAATACTC